TTTTTTTTTTTTTTAAATTACAGGTCAATGTAAGGGTACAAAAAATTAGGTCACAATCTGTTAGGTAGAGTCCCTCTTTCTAATGCTGCATTTTTATATGAGTTTAGCTTTTCCATTAGTAAACAAAAATACTACATGGTATTCTTTTCAATGTGTGGGAAGTGAAGCCTACCTACCACCTAAGTTAATTTCTTTTTTTTTTTGGAGACAGAGTCTCACTATGTTACCCTGGGTAGTGTGCCTTGGCATCACAGTTCACAGCAACCTCAAACTCTTGGGCTTAGCAATGCTCTTGCCTACAGCCTCCAAAGTACCTGCCACAACACTAGCTGTTTTTTTAGTTGTAGTTGTCATTGTTTGGCCAGCCCAGGGCCGGATTTGAACCCACCAGCTCCAGTGTATGTGGCTGGCACTCTAGCCACTGAGCTACAGGCACCAAGCCATGAGCTACCTAAGTTAATTTCTAACTTTCTACCAACAATACCAGTTAAGAATGCTGTGAAGGCTCGGCGCATGTAGCACAGTGGTTATGGTGCCAGCCACATGCATCAAGGCTGGTGGGTTCAAGCCTGGCCTGGGCCAGCTAAACAATGACAACTGCAACAAGAAAACAGCCGGGCACCATGGTCCCATCTACTTGGGAAGCTGAGGCAAGAGAATCGCTTAAGCCCAAGAGTTTGAGGTTGCTGTGAGCTGTGATGCCACAGCACTCTATTGAGGGTGACAAAGGGAGACTTTGTCTCCCCAAAAAAAGAAAGAAAGAAAGAATGCTGTGAAAAAGTCAATCCCAAATAAGCTAAGTCCATACCTGTTCTGAGCCTGGGGAAAAGGTAGCATCCTGGCTCCGGGTCATCATCCTCCGAGGAGATTCAGGCACCAGAGGGAACCGCTCTGGCCGCCCCTCAGGGCCTGGGATGGGGGAGCTGGTCAGGCCAAAGCATGTGTCCAGGTCAGTCATAGATGATTCAATCTGCTGGAAGCCCCAGAGTCCCACCTTCCTCATGCACTGTGAACACGTTATCAGGGAGAGCTGCATGGGTTCCAAAGAAGAACTAGATAAGAATGAAAAAGAATAGAGTTTTCACTAAGGGTAACATTTCCAAGTGACTAAATGTAATGATTCATGAGTATGCTGTATCTCATAAAATTTCTGGCAGTCCAGCCAGAATTGGAATTGGAAACCATGTCCTCTCAGAACCTCCATCCTCAACACCTCAGCTTCATCATCTCCTATATATTTCCTATTGAAAGAGCTAGGGGTCTCAGTGTGCTCTCTAACCAAGATTATTTTCAAGGTATGTTTTATATATTTCTCCTGTGCCTCTTAAAACATTTTTTCCTTTTAAGTGGAAAACATTCCTTAATCTACCAAAGAAAGCGTATCAAAAATAATTCAAGACTTCTTTGAACAGTCTTCTATCTCAGAGGGTGTCTATGCCAAATTGAGCAGCTGGAGTGAAAACACCAATATGGGGGCCTAGAGGATTCCAGCTGGTGCTTCCCTTGGTAGTTTTTTAAATCAATTAAGCTGATTTTCTTCCTTTCTAAAAATAGAAAGGTGCTTATTTTCTATTTTTAGAAAGAAGCTTTACTATTTATAGGAACACAAATTTCCAGCTGGGTAGTGACAGTATCAGAAACAAAGCTCAGTTGTGAACACCAGGGATTCCTGAATTCTAATTCTGGCTTTGTTACCAATTCTTACTATTCATCTCTGCCCCCACCATTCCCACCCTCAAGTTTCTCCTTGTCTCTGTTTTTCTCACAGGAAACACCATGTGATTTCCAAAAATGTGGTATAGTGCTCACAGTTCATGTCCCCTGGCAGAATTTCCTGACTAACCTATACGCCCAGCCACACACAGAGAGAATACAGGCAGTGACGTGGACTTGGATGTCTGAACCTAATTTGGTTGTAGTTTTTCTCTCATCAGTTCGGTGATCAAGTTCATCTTCAAGCAGGTGTAGAAGAAGACTGATCTTGTCTTCTGTCAAGCACTACAAGGAAACAAAGCAAAACACTTCAAGTTTCAATCACCATGAAAAGAAAAATTGTACATAATGATGTATCTAAATGATATAAGCCAAAATCAGAAAAGAAATGGCAAACATGAAGACAATTCTCTTTATAGAGAAGATTTCTTTCCAGGACAGGGCATGGTATCACAGAGAAACCTTCTGAATTACTGTGGATCTGCTGATTGAGAAAGGGGATAATTTTCCTAGAACTACCAAATCTCAGCACTAAATTGTTTTTAATTTACCAGTTTCAGATTTTCTCTGAAACCTGTAAATGTAAACCCAAATAATGAAAACAGATTACTGCTTATGTCCTGGCCTGAATAACAGAGTTACACAGTCTTTATTTTTGTGGTAAAAATAAAAGAACTATGATAGGGTGAAAAACTGCCTTGACTAGGAAAGGGTGACGTTTATTTATTTTTAACATTTAAAGTTTTTTTTAGATGGGCCTGGTGGGTCATGCCTGTAATCCCAGCAGTCTGGGAGGCTGAGGTGGGTGGATTGCCTGAGCTCAGGAGTCTGTTGAGACCACCCTGAGCCAGAGTGAGACCCTATCTCTAAAAATAGCTGGGCACTGGGCAGCACTGGGGCTTAGTAGGTAGGGTGCCGGCCCCACATACCGAGGATGATAGATTCAAACCCGGCCCAGCCAAACTGCAACAAAAATATAGCTGGGCGTTGTGGCGGGCACCTATAGTCACAGCTACTCAGGAGGCTGAGGCAAGAGAATCACCTAAGCCCAGGGAGGTTGCTGTGAGCTGTGACACCACAGCACTCTACCAACGGCGATAAAGTGAGACTGTGTCTCTGAAAAAAAAAAAAAAATAGCCAGGCACTGTGGTGGGTACTGTTAGGTCCAGTTACTGGGGAGGCTGAGGCAAGAGAATCCCTTGAGCACGAAAGTTAGAGGTTGCTATGAGCTATGACACCAAGGTATTCTACTGAGAATGACAAAGTGAAACTCTGCCTCAAAAAAAGAAAAAAAAATTTTTTATTGGTTTGTTTTTTAGAGACAGGGTCTTGCTCTGTGCTCAAATTGGAGTATAGTGGCATGATCTTAGCTCACAGCAACCCCAAAATCCTGGGCTCAAGCAAACCTCTTGCCTCAGCTTCCCAAGTAGCTGGGAATACAGGCGCATGTCACTATGCCCAGTTAATTTTATTTATTTTTTGTAGAGATAAGGATCTCACTTTGTTGCCCAGGTTGGTTTTGAACTCCTGGGCTCAGGAATTCTCCTGCTTCAGCCTCACACAGTGCTGGGATTACAGGCATGTGCCACTGTGCCCAAGCCAGGGTAACATTTATAATTGGCATCAGAGATTAACAGTTTGAGGCTAAACCCCACACCAGCGTCTTAACTTGGGAGAAGCTATTTTCTATAGTACAGCTTGTCCTCACAGAGAGAGTGTCCATAGCATAACAAAATGAAACAGTAAATATTTATTCAGTTTTGAAGTACAGAGGCAGTAGAGCATTTCAACATTTCTATTTACAAAGAGAAGCGAGTTTATCAATTGTTCTCTAGAACTTCCTCTAGAAAATAGTATGGAGGAAACTATATGCAGTCACATTTCAGTATATTATGTTAAATAGTTTTAAGTAATAAATCAAGATTAAATTAAATTTATGAAGAACATATATTCAGGGCAATTCTAATCTATGCTCCTGGGTTCCCGTCCTAAAACCTGGCCCAAATAAACTCTCTAGTCACATTAAAAGAAAAAAATGAAGGCCAGGCGCAATGACTCATGCCTGTAATCCTAGCATTCTGGGAGGCCAAGGCAGGTGGATTATCTGAGTTCACAGGTTTGAGACCAGTCTAAGCCAGAGGAGACCTCATCTCTAGAAATAGCTGGACATTATGGTGGGCGTGTGTAGTCCCAGCTACTCGGGAGGCTGACGTGAGAGAATCACTTGAGCCCAAGAGTGTGAGGTTGCTGTGAGCTGTGACACCATAGCACTCTACCAAGGGCAACAAAGTGAGACTCTGTCTCAAAAAAAAAAGAATTTATGCCATTTAAAGAACCATATCTAAACATTTAAATGGACCACTCAAAAGTCACCTTTCTAGTAGATTGAAAAGATCAGTTGAGACAGATAAGTAGATGTCTTCTTAACTGTATCCTCTTGTTATTAAAAGAAATGCTTTGTGTATAAATGCAAGTGACATCTGGAGGTCACTGTAGCCTCACCAGAAAAAACTCACCATGTTTTTCAAGTCCTCTGGCCTCAAGGAAGGAAGCTGGAGGTCCAAGTGACAGAGGCTCTGAAAACGATCTAGGAATTCACTAACAAGAATAGCAGGCTCATCCAATGGCAGCATCCCAAATCGATCTGTGGAAAAAGTAAACTGGATGATTATATTGATTCAAAGTATAAAAAGAAAAAAATGTATAGAACAATGGGGAAGCATAAAATTCATGAGATATGTTTGATGATATTAAGAAATTATTGGTTTTTGTTGATAGGATTGTAATGATGCCATTATGGTCATGTTTATATAGCAGAAGACAGGCACAGTGCCTGTAGTCCCAATTCAGGAAGCTGAGGTGAAAGGAATGTTGGATCTCAGGAGCTCCAGGCTATCCTGAACAACACAGTAAGGCTCCATCATGAACTTAAAATTAATTATAGAGGAGAGTGGTCGGCTTGGCGCCTGTGGCTCAAGTGGCTAAGGTGCCTGCCACATACACCTAAGGTGGCAGGTTCGAATCCAGCCCGGCC